AGAAAAGACTAGTTGCGTCGCCTCCTTTTTGCAGGCCGCAAACATACCATAATCAGCAAAACGAGAAGTTTGAGACCATTCAATCTCGTGTACCGTTTCTGTCCTGTGCTCAGCAAGCTCCGATTTTTGAACCCAACAGCTTTTACAGGCGCTTTTGTGCTCAGTCACCCTTTGTCGAATGGGACGACAAGTCTCTCCAACATAAAAACGACTACATGAACACATTATCTTATGGCAACCAGATCTGGATAATGGGTCAACTTTCTCCCTAAGATTAACATAACTGAAGAAAGTGTCGTAGTTTCCCTGAAGTCCGTTTTTATTCCCCACTTCCTTACTTGTTCACCTATCCTTTTAGAGAGAATGCACGAAAGTAAAGACAAAACATGAAAAAAAGTATATTTCCTTACGTATTCCCCATTCAAAAAGCTATTCTTTATTAATCTAATGTTATTTTCAATCAAGCCTAGGGGATAATTATTCTCAATGAAAATTATTTGAAGCCGATTCAATTCGTTGTCCCAATGGTCTTTTGCTCCGAATAATCATATATTTTAAAACTCCAACCTTTGTTTTATAACTATGATTGGAGAAGAAGTTAAGTATAAAGCCAGCATGTGTTGTCTTTCTATAAACATCCTTGCTTAACTTCTCCCCTGCTCTTATCACTAAGACATCTAAAAAGGGTAAATTATTGTTCATCCCCATCTCCATTGTCAACTTAACATTGCAGTCAATTTGGTTAATTAAAAACAAGAAATTATCTAAACTATCCTTTCCATGCTGCAATATGGCAAAACAGTCATCCATATATCTAACTAACAGTTTGAGTGTCAATCTTAGCTCTTCCATGGACTGTTCCTCAATTCATGACATGTAATTATTAGCTAAAATTGGAGCCAAGCAAAATCCCATTGCTAGGCCTTGCACCTGTTCATAAACTTTATCATTATGTGCTGCTCATGGATAGAATAAGAAGCCTTAAGATTGGGTTTTTGCTCAGATTTATCTTCTCAATACTTTCTGGGTGTTCATCTAGGCTGAGTGTAAGTGCTTCAATAACTTTATGAACTGGGATCTTAGCTAATTTTCTTAGTTGTCTACATAAGAAACGTGAGATCCTATGCATCACAGTACCCTTGTTATTAAAGAGCAATCTTAAGGGAACTCCTTCCTTGTGTACTTTTGGAAGGCGTAAGCCGAAGGTGCCCTTGCATTCCTTTGAAGAAATGAATTCATTTTCCACTTCTCAATTTCTCCTTTGCTTGCACAAAGGTTAAGCGATTCCCTAAGTCTGGCCTTAAGACTTTATGTGGGATCCTTCAGTAAATGTCTGTAAGCTTCGGAGTCATTTAAATGAACCATCACTTTTTCTATATAACTTAACCTATCCATGATGACAACTGCACCACCTTTATCTGCCTTCAAAACAAACAGATCATTTTGGTGCAAATATCTAGAAACTTAATTCAGGTCATAGGATTTATTTGGAACAATTACTTCATCAAAATGAGGAATCACTTCTCTTTCTATACTATAGTTTGGGTGTCAATCTTACCTCTTCCATGAAGTGTTCCTCCATTCCTGACATATAATTAAAGAAATAATCCCTTCGGAAAAATCAGACCGAGATCAGACATATATCTCCCTGAATATTTAGGAATGCTCATGCTAAAATGTAAT